GGCACAGTGGGCGAAGGTCTGGATCCGCGTCTAGTTAGCATGAATTTTGTAAGACAGGACCCATAGTATTTTGTTACGTTTCTTCACAGAGTGGCCCCACTGGATCCGCCACTGTAATGTGCTAATAGTTAATATAGTTTTTAACGATGCAAAGCGAAGACGAAGTCTCCCAATTTGGTGATTAAATCTGCAATGCCCTGAGAAAACTTCAAGCAACAAATTGAAATGCTTCAAAAAGAAAGTGTATGTTTTACTAGAGTGCACGAGAAGCACACACACAAGACAAGCGACCATTATTTTTTGTTCACGGTAAACAAAGGGGGGTGGCTAGCCACCCTATTCACCATTACCACCCCCCCCCCCAGATCCGCCACTGATTGGGGTTTTGTATTTAAAAAAAAAGCAAACTGTATTTGTAATTGAATTATATAATTTTGTAATTGTATTTGTAGATTTACGATTTAGGCCTATATTTGTAATGGGAGCAACTTTAATTGTGTAATTGTTAATCACCATAGGAATTTAAATTATTTTTACGTAGGTGTGTCAGAAGGTGCACAAATAAATGGTGTAGTAGTGTGAGACAGGGCAGTTTTGCCACTATTTTAAAAATGCCAATGCATATTAATGTTATGTGCTACTCATTTATCTATTCTGGAACTGTTGTGTACCCCCTCCCCCTTTGAAAATTTTTGGATCCGCCGCTGTGACAAGTATCAATAGCACAGTAATAATAACATCATACCAATTTTCTTCTAAAGTTCAAAACCCACTGTTTTTTTAAAAATATAAATAATAGAAATTTTAAAGTAATTCGCATATAACTCGCACAGGTTGTTGTTCGCACAAGTGGATATTCTTCCGCTCGAACTAGCATCCGCTCGAAAAAAATCCGCTCGAATTCGCTCGAATTGGCCTTCGCTCGAAGTGGCATCCGCTCGAAATGACTGGTTCTCAGGCTGGAACATGAAAGGTTGTTGTTTGTTGTTATTTCGCGACGTCATCAACGAGCACAATACATTCAATCCCGTAACATGATTGGTAAATTTTTTTCTAATTTGCATAATAAATTTTTCCAACATTTTTGTCTATTTAAAAAAAGTGTGTAAGTTATGGAGATGGTAACAATCATAAATCGATTATAAATTTAATTATGCATTTTTAGACAAAAAAAAAAAAAACCCTCTTGGCCCAAGCCCATATATACGAAGAATTTTTTCTAGTAGGATTAGAGTTGACTAACTGGTACTTGGTGTGGTACTAG